CATATTTGTAGGGTAGAAGTTATTGAAATCCTTCGCTGATACATCAGGCCAGCCAAGAGTGCTGAATGGCCACAGCGAGCTGCAGAAAAAAACATCTTAGGTAAATGATATAGGAAGTTCTTGCAAAATCAGGAAAATTTGTTCAGCGCATATATATATTCTTTAGAGGAAAAGCACTAATTCATTGTGAGTATTCTGAGGAAACTGAAACTTTCACATGATTAAACTAGTGACTATTTCTAAAACAAAGACACACAGGAGAAAAGTAATCTCCAAAAACTCTTAACTGATAAACTAACCTGGAAAACCAGGTGTCCAGAACATCTGGATCCTGATATATTTCAACATCTTTTCCATACTTCTCATGGGCTTTCTCAAGGGCTTCTTCAGCATTTTTAGCAACTATGTAATCCTCCTCACAATCCTTTCCAACCACATACCAAACTGGTATGCGATGCCCCCACCACAGCTGCCGGCTTATGCACCAATCCTTAATATTCGTCAGCCAGTGATTGTATATCTGCAAGTGGCGACAGGAAATATAAGCAAAAGCAGAAGTATGCAGTGTAAACAATCAAAAATCAAAACCTTGCAGAGAATTTGCCAAACTGAGGAGAAAAAGACAGATACCAGCTCAGTAACTAATAACACCAACCAGTCGCTTGCATACCTTCTCAAATCTTTCAGGTATGATGGTAAGTTCTTTGTTTTCAACAGCAAGAAGAGCCTTCTCAGCTAAAGGATCCATGTGGACAAACCATTGTTTGCTTACAAGTGGCTCAATAACCTAAAACCAGTTAATCCATGCATGAGAAAATATATGAACTTCTAACGAACTGAAAAGTGATACTGGTCAGTAGAAAAATACTTCTCCACCACGCTGAGATCTTGGAACTCGTAAAGTATGAGGCTCCTTCTTAACAGCTAAACCCGTCTCCTCGAGATCTACCCATAGTTTCTCCCTCACCTCAAACCGGTCAAGGCCACTGAAAGTACGATGTATGTTAAGGCGCCATGGATGTTAAGATGTAACCTAAGGGTATTCCATTTCATAATATTAAAACTACTGCAGCTAACATATAAGTATAAAACAAAATGTTACCAAAACAAGCCAGCAACGTCATTTAGTGTTGCATCCTTGTTCATCACATTCAGAATGGGGAGACCTAGCTTTCTTGCAAGAAGGTAATCGTTGTGATCATGCCCAGGACTTATCTTCAGAACACCAGTCCCAAAATCTTTATCAACATACTGCCACCGTACACAGAAATACTGATGAGAAATGTGAAGAGCAGCATAGGAAATACTATGGAGGTAACTTCAGTTTCTTGCTTCTGAGTAGCTAGAACTTAGAAGTTTCCCAGGAAAAAAACTGATGACTAAAGCATGAAGAATAGCAAAAAAAAACAACTGCAGCGTTTTTCTTGTTGAACTTAGAAACAGATATTTCATCCTAAAAGACATCATAAAGAGTGCATACGCAGTAGATCTGAGTTCACCTTATCAGCAATAATTGGGACATGACGACCATATGTCATAGGTACAATTGCTGTCTGACCAACATATTTTGAATAACGATCATCCTGCCAGATGCCAAATACATTTCACAACATTAATCCTCAAACGATACCCAAAAAAATAGCACCTATTCACGGGAACGATTAGAAGACGATCTACATTCACATGAGATCCAAAAAAAATTATCATCAAGTTTGTAGATTACATCTGCTTACATTGAATTGGACCAGCAACCTGACAAACTACCTGGACTACATTTTCAAATTTTAAATTTTACGTAAAAGAAATATACAAAAGAATGTGTTACACGTTATAGACTTCCCCTCCCTAATATAAAACTTGCTTCTAAGTTTGTTTACTGAAAACACGTCAAACAGACTCTGATAGTACCATCTGTCATTGCCGATATCCTATTATCAACGGAAACAAAAAATATCACCACCTACCTCAGGATGCACGGCAAGGGCCACGTCACCAAACAATGTCTCTGGACGAGTCGTTGCTATAGTAAGAAAATCAGGACTGCACGAGGAAAGATCAGCTAAGCCATTTCCATAAACAGAACAAAGGTAGTCACTGATTCCAAGAATAATATACAATTTAAGGTCAACTACTGCCGAATGAACTCTTACAGACCCAACGTTGTGTCCCACAAGTTTTAATGATCATATCACATAATCTAAAGCCTCATAAGATACGCTTTTCAAACCCTATCATGCTTCTGTGAACTCTTTGAATAGCAGAGAATAATCAAATTGATGTGAGAAGAAATTATCTTTTCACATAATTTTGCTATATATAAGGGTCCATAAAATACACTAATACAGAGTAGAAGGAAGAGTAAAGATAGTACTGGTAACTGGACAGTACCTTCCAGCTACACGGTATTTAATATGGTATAGAAACCCAGGTTCCTCTGAATATTCTACTTCCTGGTAAGAACAAGACAGTCACTTCTAGAAAGAAAAAAAGTATTCAAACTATAGAGTGTTAGATAATATATATCACACACCAAGTCTGAAACAGCAGTCTGTAAATTAGGGGACCAGTTGACCATGTAAGATCCTGGAAAACGTTATGCCAAAATCACCAAACGTCGTATGAGTACAGTACAGCACATCACTACTTAAAGCTACGACAACAGAAACCAAAATACATAATAGCTTACCTTGATATATCAACCCCTTGTCATGAAGTTTTACAAAAGCCTCGACCACAGCTCCTACAAATTTGGGGTAAAAGAGAATCAAGGACTATACAGAATAAATTCAAGGTGTAAGTACATACAATTTGAAAATAAGAGCAACGAGAAACTTTTTGAACCACCTAAAAACTGCATAATATTTTACTTGCCAAAGTTTTTGAATTTTAAAATACCACTCAAAATCATATAACGTCAACTTTGAGCACCACCTATAGTCTGCTATAAGAATCACAATCTAGAAACTATAGAGAGATGCCTTACGACTCAATTGCTCATCAAGAGTAAAGCGCTCTCTACTCCAATCACAAGAAGCACCCAGTCTTTTAATCTGATTTGTGATGGTTCCGCCATACCTGAGAAAAAACACACAAACTATAATTCCAGCCTTACCCTTTATATATCAGATAGAAATACAGTCGATTTTATCTTTTAATGAAAGCATTGGCCTTTGGAATGGTACAGGAACACCAATTTACTCAATTAAAAGAAATGTATTCTGCATATTTTTCCAGAAGATCGATAACTTATGACTTGTTCGAAGAATGGAAACACCGCCAGAGTATAATACAGATACTTTTGAAATAGATATTTTGAATTAATCCATTGCAGTGATTAGATAGCTTACTTCTCCTTCCATTCCCAGACTCTTTTGGTAAACTCATCTCTACCTAAATCCACTCTCTTAATGCCTTCTGACGCTAGCATCTTTTCCACGACCAACTGAAAGAAATATAGTAGCTTCAGTAAAATATTTCAGAAACATTCACTAAGCAATGTAAATATTATCTATACAAATTATACTCTACAAGAAAAGGACTTTTTAATAACGTAAATGTGGTAGATTGGTATATGAACAAGAGCAATGGAGTGTGAAGAAGCAAGATGTAAACGCCATAATGAGCACAAAACAAACACGCAAACACTAGTAGAGATACCATGCAAAACTTGAACTTTGAACAAGGAAATGAACCTGAGTGGCAATACCAGCATGATCAGTCCCGGGAAGCCAAAGTGTTGGTCTCCCTTTCATCCTATTGTATCGAACCATAATATCCTGTAACAAAATAAAAAAGCGATGAGAATAGCAGAACCATAGTATAACACAGTTAATGCACAAAGAAACATGGCATTGCTAAACAATAATTCAAAACAACTTAAGAAGCGCTTAAAAAACTAAAAAGGTGAAATGAAAATAGGAACATAAAATGGAATACCCAAATGAGTGTGAATTTATCTGAATATGGATTCCACAACCTCAAGAGTGACAAACATTGCATGGCCCATGTGAAGAGAACCAGTAACATTAGGAGGTGGCATTGGTATCACAAAAGGACTGCCTCCTTGGTCAAAATTTGGTTTGAAGTAGCCTTGCGACTCCCACCTAAAATAAAATGCCCAAATCCCAAAAATCATCAGAATAATCACAAAATCCATGTCCCATAGTTCCAAACCAATAATTCCAATATTTCAGTAGAATAAGATACCATTTGTATATTTTCTCCTCGGAGGAAAACTCAAAGGTCTTTGATGTCTCAGGGGAAGTAAAGACATTATTTCCTGAGGCCGCAACTGAAATACAAAAGAGGAATTCAAATGTAAATACGAATATACAATTGCTTATCATCAACCCCATTTTCTAAATGAATACATAGGAATTCCGATTCAATTGAAACAAACATAAGCAACAAAAGCCATAGGAAACAGATTACGAGCTTAGAGGCAACGGAAAGGAGATAGAATAGCGACGAACGTACCAAAGGAAGAGAATCTACGTTGCGCAAAACTTGAATTAAAGCGGGATGGGGAAATTAATCGACGGCGTCGGTGAGTGAAGAAGAGAGTGTTGAGCTGGTGAGGACAGGTGGGGGATAGTAGAGTAGTAGTAGCAGTAGGTGTGGGTAAAGAGAAAGCCGTTTGGAAAATCATGGCAGATTCCCGAGAAAATCTGGGGTGAGAAAAGAATTTGAAATTCCCAGGAAAAAAAAAAGAGATAAGCTGCTGCTGGTGACACAATGGGGGGTTTAAGGAAGAAGGAACGGATGACGGAAGGGCAATTCTGTAATTGTTGCTGTTTTAATGGTCGCAGAGTCAAGTTTTTGCTTACGCTAGGTAATAATTTGTGCTAGTATCGTTGCTAGTTTATTTATTTTTTTTTTTTTGATATATCCGATCGGCTGATCCGGTCAGTTCCAGAAGAAACGCACCGAAGTGCTATCATGTGGATTCTTTGCCAACACCTAGGTGCTACTATCGTTGCTAGTTTAATAGTCATGACTCATGATGAGTAACATTTTTAGTAAATATTGGCGGGTACAATAAACTTATATGCAAGCTAATTCCCAACTGGGACGTCACACTAGAGTTTTCAGTTTCACTATATAATAAATGTATATATTATAGGTAACTTTGAATAAGATTTTATTATTATGCTTTTACATTTAGTAGAAGACAAGGAGGATGATCCCTTGAGGTCAACATCTAATCTCTTAACCCATCACCTTTGGTCTCCAACCAGCAATTACATCCTCTGTTTCCGCCCGTGTGTTCGTGAATGATTCCCTCGAAAAAACATTCTGTAAATAGTTGTAGTGTGGTTGGTCAAACCAAATGAAAACAAATCATCGAAATAGAATGCGGTTGTTGAGAACAGCATTGAAAAGACTGGCTCGGTTTTTCAGCCATTTACCTCCATGTAGGATTTGACGAAAGGAAGCGAAACTGGAACAGACCAGTTCTTGTAATGTCCCGATGCAATCTTCATGTGGTATAACTTTGGTGCCAAGGACAAATCTGCTGCTGAAATCTTCTCTCCATTTATGAATGGGCCCTTCACAGTAAGGAAGACAGAGCGGTAAATTATATTTTTCGCTCAACAGTCAGAATAATCTACTATAAGATCATCACAACTATTACTCAAGGATCCAGAAGCGATCAAAACCAAAAGAGCTTACATTTTCCTTGATATAATCGTTGAATGTACTAAGCTCATCCAACAAAACTTGCTCAGTTCCATCTCCTGAATCTTTGCTCTTGAGAAAACCGATAAATGTGGAAAAGATCTTCGACCCACTGCAGACATAGACATAAATAAAACTCTCACACGCAAACTCTTAATTGGAAGTATGCAAATTGTCAGATGCCCTTTTCCAGCCAAGAACACTAATAGATCAATTGCACAAAAACAAGTACACAGCATGATCATAAGACCGAGGAAAAAAAAAATTAGGAAAGCTTACACTGAAGCCTTTTCAGGTGGGGTTGCAAGAGGAGGCTCGGGATACTTCTCTTCTAAAGCCTGTGTTATAACATCTGAATCCGGAACCCATTTCTCATCAAACTTCACCACTGGGACTTTACCTTCTGGACTAATTTTCAAGAACCTAGAAACATTACAAAAAAAAAGAACACAAAATATTGACAAAACTAAAGGAAATCACTGCCAGCAATTAAGAATCATGTCTACTTCAAACACATTATGGAAGGAATCCAAACATTTACCATTCTGGTTTGTTACTCAAATCCACCATTTTCATATCATAAGGAACATGCTTCTCCTCCAATGTCAGCAACACCCTTTGGCAAAAAGGGCCTATCAACAAAATTATGCATATAATCAACTCTCTAAGGAAAAATAAACCTCGAAACCAGTGGCCACAACATAAAAGCAATCGTGTTTGCATATTATACTCTAAAATATGTTTTGAATAGTTTCAGTTTACAAAATTAAGAAAAAATCAAAGCACCAATTAAGTTTAACAAACGAAGTCATCAAATTCTCAAGTCTAAGTATCTATCTGCACCAATGGAGCTAACACGAATTATCTATCTGCAATTCGCAATCGAGTCAAAAGAAGTATCGAATTGCAGCTAATCATCAACATTTCAAAGTTTACGGAGAGAGAGAACTCACAGTCTCCGAGCTTGTTGGGTGTGGTGATAGAAGCTTTGACGCAGATTTCGAGAGGACTCGCCGCCATCGCCATTGTTACAAACCGGCCAACCCTTCCCGGTTTAGTCGAACCGCACCTCTTGATAAAACCGGCGCAGTTCACTGACGCCGATAAAACACCGGCGGTGGTGCTTGGTTGAAACCTAAGGCTTATCATATTTTTCGTCAGTGGTTAATTTTCCAACTAGTCAGATGGCTGACTCAGATAATCTGGAAAATTCTCAGTGGCTAAGTTGACTGACACGTGGCGAAATATTACATATCAAGTGAAGACCATCATGGGCCTCAATTTCTGCTATTCTCAGCCCATTACTATTTTAATCGCAGTAGCCCACTACTGTTAACGTTTTTTAGCTTTTTTTTTATGATGAATAATTGAATATGCTCAAATGGCAGTCTTGATTACAACTACATTTTCTCAATAATAAAACATGGAAAATAGAATTCAAAGAACTTTGAACCATTGGCTCGCTGGATCACATGAAGCATCCATGGTCAAACACTTGCAAGGGTTAGCGACGACGCTGTTGTCACGTTCGTCCGCGTCAAGACATAGCAATAAACCATTACTTGTCTTGAACGACAAATGCATCTTAGTAGCTGAGATTTGTCCCAACTTAGAACACTTTGTGCCAAATCCAAGCTTCACCTTTTGTCCAGCAACGTTTGGAGCTTCCACGCACATTTTATTGACCCAAAGAATGCCTTCTTGGGGATTAAAGGTCCATGGGTCGGATTTAGGGCATGGTCCTAATCCAAGTGTGGGTAAATTGTCTGAGGGATTATTGGTGACGCAGAGTCCTGTTGATGGATGGAAGAGAATGTTGTTGTTGGGTCGCAATCCGGGTCCTGCATATATAATTTAGCTTCATTAGTGTAATTATTTGATGTGTCCCGAGAAATCTAGAAAATAAACAAATTATGAAAAATAAGAAAATTCATGATACTGCATTTAGCATATAATAAATTTAGCGTTTGAGTTTTTATTTCTTTTGAGTGATTGAAAAAAAAAAAAAAAAAAAAAACTGTTCTGACCTTTAAAGGCATGTTTGATTCCGGAGAGTTTTTGCAAGTAGGTAGAGTTTCTGACGTCTTTCCAATTGGCCTGCAAAAGGCCATAAGACTCATCTAAACCCGTTTTACCGGTTCTCAAATAATAATCTCCGGTTAACGCCCAAACCGCCCAATCTAAATCATTCTCAGCTGCCCAAGCCACCAAACAATTCATATACCGGTTCCCGCTGATGTCACCGCCTCTCTGGTCAGTCCCAAACTCACTCAAGATCAAAGGAAAGCCTCTCCCAATCAAGAATCCTCCGTTGTGTGTAACCTTTTCGATGATTTTGACGCAGAAATCGTTAGAGTTGTGTTTTCTCCATGAATCTCTGCCGTCGGAGAAACTGTACCAATGGAGCTCGAAGACGAGTTTGTTGGTGAAGCTGACGTTGACGGAACGGTCACGGAGGAAAGAGAGGTTTGTGTCGAAGTCGATGCCGGATAGGATGACTAGTAATTTAGGGTTTGCGGCGTGCACTACTTCTGCTCCTTGTGGCATATGCCTTCACGTTACCATTAACACGTTCGCATGCATGCATGCAATTAATTACCACGAACGCGTGAACAATAGAAACAATACTAATTAATTTTGGTTCTATTTTTTTATTGAAACAATATCAAATGGTGGAAACAAACTCATTTAACCTCTCTACATCATGGACTCTTTTTTTTTTGTGTGAAAATTTTGAGAATTATCGTTTTTTAATAATTCGTGTTTTTTGGATTAGATTAAAAGTTTATCTTTATAAATTATAATGTGAGTCTGGGTTTTTGAGGAATAGATATCAAAAAAAGCTTTTATGATTTATATATTGAAATTTAGTAATAACAAAAAAAAAAATTTAGCAAAGCTATTGTACTTTTTCCATAAATTGGTATAGATTTGAAGTATGTACCTGAACCAGAGGTCAGGGTAATCTCTAGCACCACGTGGCTCATTCCTAAGGCTCATGCCAATGACGTTAGTGAAATTGCGGAAAAGAGTAGCCATCTTCCCCAAGCCCTTGGCCCAGACGGTGGGATCAAACTTAGGGTAGCCAAAAAAGGCGTCGAGGTCATTCTCGCCGCAGCACCAGCCTGGCGTTGTCAAGTGGTTATCTAGTATCACCATTACACCGTTTTGTCCTAGGTTCGACACCACTTCCTGACAACATATAATAACAATAAACATAATTTTTGTATGTGTATCTATGAGTCACAAAACACTTTGATCACTTTTGGTCCCAACTCCAAAATATATATGTAAAGAGTGAACGCTTTTTTGAGATGGAAAGTTCGATTTCTTTGTTGTTTCTAAAATCATAACGAAGTTACTACACATTGGGTTTGATCGATACTGTTAAGTTGTTTTACAATAAAAAAAAGAATTGCGACAAAATTTCGCATCAAATATCAATTCAACATCAAAACCAATTGACAATGATAGATATTTATTTATTTGTTAAAGCATCTTTATCGGTTAACAACCATAATCTTTAAATTTAATAATAATACTTTTTATTTAATTTATTTAAAATATTGAAACAAATGAAGAGTTGACATGAGAAAAAATTTAGAGGAGAGAGAGTAAAGTTTTTTTTTGCATAAAGTTCTTACATTTCTCATCATTTTTTTTTTTTATAATATAATATGTTTCATATACCCTCCTCCATTCTATTTATGAAGGTGCTCTTAAGTTAAGCAAATTGGAATTGGTTTAAATTATCCTTAAGAATGGGTTATTTTTCTTTCATGTGATCAATTTTGGTTAATTAATTTGTTATTGTTTCGAATTAGATCACGTTTAGATAGCCCATATAATGAACATAGCCCGGTTTGGCAGATAGAACAAACCAATGATCTAACATTAAAGTTACCTGGAATGCATTGAAAAGGGGAAGATGAAGTATTTTGGGATTGTGAGTTTGAATCCCAAGAACATCTTCAAACAACTTCAAGCTTTCAAAAGACTGTTTAACCGTAACATTAAGAGCCAATGTGTCATTAGTCATCAAATCAAGAGGCCAAGTAAGCCTAACGCAGTTAAATCCCATTGAGACAATCTTCTTGGAGATGGAGTCTAATGGTTGTTTGCTTAGCCCTTCGGCCACCGTGGGCTGGAGATGAGCCGGCCAGTTCACGCATGCTAGCTTCACTCTTTGGCCTTTCTCGTCCACGATCCATCTAGACTTTGTGGAGAGATGATAGCTTGTGGTTAGCTTTGATATCCAAGAAATGAATAAGAAGAATAAACAAAAATAGAAGGATCTCGTCATTATTTGTGTGTTCTTGTTTTTTGATTTTCATTAATTTGAATTTGATTCGTAATTTATATTGTAAAGAAGTTGGTTTAGTTTCTGGTTTTTAGCAGATTATACGTGTTTAATAGGTTTTTTCCAACAAAGGAACATAATTGACGAAAAAACTAATAGAATTAACTGTGAGAAAAAGAAAAGAAAAAAACAATAATCGATAGATAATGTAGTTAGTTTTCAATCTAAGGTGTATATTTCCCGAGAATGTTCAAAAAACTTTTATCAAAGTCAAAAATAATATATTACAGAAGCTGTTACATTATTGTAACAGTAATAATCTGTCTCAATACCTGGTAGTCAGAAATGCAGGCGGCTGTTGACGAGTCTCAGTTACGTCTTAGTTTTAGATTGGAGAATCAGATCCATGAAAAATGAGTTTACAATTCTGTTTATACTAAGATAGTTCAGAAAAATATGCCAGTTCTAATCTCTATAAACGGATGTCTCTGAACAGATTCATGGAAACAGGTTATGAACACATATAGATTAAAGTACACTTACAATGGAAGGAAGTATTGAAACTATTCTTAAGAACCAAAAGCCACTCTTTGCACAAAATCTGGCCGTCTTTTTGAAGGCATGCGAATAAGTCCTGCTATCTGAAGCTCCATTATAGCTCTGCAAAATCGAGCTCTGTTGGAATCAAATGTTAAGGAATCGAAAGTATTATGATAAATTCTGTAATCTCTGGTTGTCTGCATTTACGTAAATGTCTAGCAGCATGAACAGATATACAAGGATGAACATTGGTGGATCACCGATTACTAATCTTAACCAAAAAAGGATACTGAATTAAAGCTTCAGCAGGTGCTTCTGGTTCTTCACATATATCCTTCCGTTTCTTCGATTTTGAAGATGACTTAGATTTTTGTTTAGCCTTGCTACTCTTGGGAATGAGTATCGTCTTGAAAGATTGATACCAGTCATGGAGGTTAATGACATCAGCGTGCTCTTGCGCCAGCGTGTACCTATATAATCAATTATCACAAACCTTTTCATTGTAACACATATTGAAACAAAGAATGGAGAAAGAAGCCAGTTTGTGTTCATGTCTATGTGTGTGTTTGAAGATAGTTTGTGACGCCGGTAATCTCTCAAATCATATACGCAACAAGAAAAAGTAATACCGGAAGAATTGTTTCAACAAAGACAACACGACAATGCAAGTGTATAACAGTAAATGAATACTCACAAAATCGATGTATCATGCATGGAAGGCAGTAGAGTTGTGCCTCTCTGGCTGCAGCACACACAGTGGAGGATTTTGTGGGATTCCAGTAGATCTAATTGGATCCTACCTCTCTGGTCTCCAAGTAAAGCCTAAAACAGATATAAACATCAAATTAAGGGAAAAAGAGAGAGAGAAGGCCATATGTACAGTCTTAAGCACCAGCACAACATTAATCGTTCCATGAAGCATTTAAAAAAAATTATTCTCAGACTCTCTCAGCACTGATCTTGTAACCGGTTTGCTTTAAGTTGATGAGAATGATACCACGAGAGAAGCATATAACAATTAATCATCTATTATAAAACTTCCAAGTAATGGAATTATAAGTGAATCCGAGAGGAATAAGGATGCTGAAGACTTACAGATTGAAGTTTATCGACATTCTTGAAACACAAAATTTCGTGGAAAGGAACACTCTCAACTGGCTTCATATATTCCCTGTTCCATAAAAAAAGGCTGTGATTAATCTCAAGACGCGTACACAATCTGACATGACAATGTTTTAAATGACGGCAGTCAAATGAAAAGCCATATACAAGCAATGTAGAGTTCAAAAACAAGTTGTTAGCAATGTAAAGTTCAGAAAAAAGTTGTTTCCTTAAAGGTAAAAAGACTCTGTGACAAAGTAGAGTTCACCTTAGCATGAATTCTATGACTGTGGCAACCTTATCAGTCATGGCTTTAAGCTCCTTTTCAAGCTTTGCATGGCTTCGAGATGCATGCTTTCTGTCACATCAAAGTGCCACTTTGATTCAGTATACATGGTTACTAATATGAGCAACAGAAACTAGCGAGTAGATGAACTTATGTATACAGTAATGATTACATATCAGCTGAATAAAACACTAAGTTTCCTCATCAATCTTTTCCCATACACAAGAACGATGGGAACAAAGGAAAATATATTTCAAGAGACTAACTTGCCAAGATGATCTGCTGGAGGCAAAAGCCGGAGGTTAAAGAGAAAAACCAGAAATTATCTAAATTCATACATGGTGTTCGGTTTGAAAAAAACAACAATATCTAGAGATTTACTTTGGGCTGTTAGGAAGTCCTTGTCTCTGACCAGCTGCTTCCACAGATCTCATGAACGGATGCAATTCCATTACTTTGTCATTGATCTAACAGCAGAGAAGAAACAAATAAGTTAATAGCTCATTGAGAACCACCATGTATTTAGAACTGAGGATGGACTAATATATATCACATACGTGATATCTCTAACTCAAGATATATTTTCAGATAAACAGATTACAAAACATAATTCCTCCGCACAAGGGATGTTAGGAACATGGAGACAGTTGAAGATTCTCTAGATCAAAGGAAATGAAAACAAAAGAAAAAAATTTGAGAACAAATGAAATTAAAAAACACATAAAAATATGCAAGTCAAGAGAAACGGTAAAAACTTGATAGATTTTTGTTATACCTCACTGAACTCCGTAGTGAGATTTTCCCAACTTTTCAACATGCTAGACAGCTGTGAAGGTGAAAGATCCCTGAGAAAATTTGAATGCAAGAGTTTCAGAACTTTTGAGCTAGGCTCCTTGCAGAGATATTAACACAAGCTCTCAATGACCTAAGATTTTTAGGCCTACTAACTCGAGAACAGATGAATTTATTAATCCTCAAAATCTTGTTCCAAAATTTGGCAACATAGCATAAGTACACTAAGCCACATGAACAGATCCATCAGACAAATTATGTACGGTCCATAAATTTAAGACAATCCTTCACTGCTATTGTGTGAGCGGAAAATTTCGTTTCTTCCTTGCAACACAACTCACCTGAGCTTGCGCAAAACCCGTCTGATAACATTGTTACTTCCTGAATTGTGACTCTGAGAGTTAACGATTTCCGAAGGTGAAAAGTATTTCAAGTAACGTGCTTCTGGGTCAAGTATCTCACAGAATATGTCTAGCAATCGAAGTTTATCAAACTTTCCAGCTTCATATATGCACTGCAAAACAGTAGCAAAAAATCTGCTCATTAATTTATCCAGGAAGCAGAAATCACACATTCACTCTAATCAGATGAAAAACCGAACTGCCTCATATTTCCTCGAGTGATGTATATAACAGAAGAAGAATAATATGCATCAAAACTGAGGAGTCCAACTAAACTGGCAGAAAAGCTAAGTCAAGAGAAACAACAAAAAAGCTGCCTTCAATCTAGAGATACAAAAGAAACAGTTTATCTACAAAACTCAAAATTCATCCAAGCGGAGAACAGAAAGTGAAAGTTCCAAAATATTTCTCTGCATTGGGATATTTTTAATCATTAAAACAGGTTTTCCACGACATTTCCTATCTAAGTTGTTGATAACATGAGAAATTATTTTTCACAGACAATGGCATCCCTGAGTCATGTACGACAATGAAATGGCTCTTTCTATGATGATGAACCGTTAAAAAAATTTTAAAGAGAACTTACCAAAACTACTATGCTCCAGGGGTTTGGCATCCTTTGCAAGTCCATCAAAAAATGAGGTAGCATTTCAAAAGTACTCCGAGTAATTTTATTCCTAGTAAAACGTTTATGAGCAGAAATTAGTGTATCTAATTTCCTAAAATCACGGGCTCCAACAAGGATTAAACCTTGTCATAGAAGTCCAACACCACTAACCTCCCCATCAGTTCTTCAACCATACAAATAGTGGAAATAAAACACAATAAAAGTGGTGAAATTCTCTGGGGTACCTCATCACAGATGGTAAGTCAAAGGCATGTTTCATTGTTGCTTCTGTCAATAGTCCAGTACCTTCACCTGACAGCTTTACAGGTAAAATTTCCTTAGAACAAAGCGAATTGCGCTTTATTATACGGATAATTTTGGAGAACATTTACGGCAAAAAGGTCTACGGTTCTAGATGACCAATCGAGGGATGCAAGATGTACCACCAAAGATCCTCAATAATTTCTTTACATAAATACATATGTACTCTTTGTAATATACATCGATTCTCAATATGCGAAGCATGAACTAAAGTTCTTAGTTATCAACTACGCTAATATAGACATGGCAGTGCCAACTTAACCAAAGTCAAATATGATATCTGAAAAAGCTGAAGGTTCTGTTAAAAAAAATGTTAGTTTTAGACAGGTGCATCAAGCATACCTGATTAACACCATCATGACACAAGTGCTCGAGCATGATGCTTAAAGGCTCTAATGAGAAATGCTGTAGACAGGCTATCTGAGAAAACAATATATAGCCAAATGAACAGCAAAGAGTTAGCAGTCCGAAACAGGTTGAAACCTAATCCAGCATAAAGGATAGAGCTTGAAACCTTGAGAGTTCTAACAAAAGATGTCAGTGTTCCATCTTGACACAAAAAGTAGCTTCTCATAAAAAGTGCCACCTTATGGCTAACAGTGAACCCAGAACACGGCTTCAAAAAAACAGCCTTGAGAACTGCATCCATCCGTTCGGCCGGAGAACTCAGAGTGAACCTAGTAGCACAAAGTCTTTGCAGCGCGTTCACTGATAATATCTTTCTAGGCGCATCATGTGCTGTGGACACACCCATTATCAAAAAAATTGGAACTTTGACTGCCCATTCGCTGAAAAGAGAAAATGAAAGAGCAGGTCACCACAATTTGATAGAGTAATGACTAAACTGAAAGTAGATAAAGTTCAAAGTTTTTGTAAAACAAAAACTATTCAGTCCAGTGAGCAGAGAAACCTGAAAATGATACGGTGCAAACGTAGCAAGCATAAAGATGAACTAATACCTTAATATAAGAATTAAATCCGACAGTACGGGCCCACAGCATCTCTCTGTATCATCCACAATTATAACCACGGGATTCTCATGGTTTTTGCTTTCTCGGTACCATGATGCGAGAATGGTCACATCAGCCACCTGTTCAAATTCGCATTATGAAGAAAATGAATCAGTCAATACTCTAATTGTGCAAGTAGGCTACAAAACTAAAGGATATCGAGGGCTATGCAGATTTACTAACATCTATGGTTGGCATCACAAACTGGCGTAACAAACCACTAAGGCAACCTCCTACACCACTCTTGGCTGAGAAGTCCATAGATGAAAGCTTAGCCACATGGCATCCTTGAGACTTCAAATGCAACTCCAGTTCTTCAAATGTCAATAAATCATCAACCATTTCCAGATTCCCTGACAACAATATAAGGTTACCTTATAAGAAGAAACAAAGTAACTGCAACTGGTTGCTTACAAAGTTTATGAAAGTTTAGTAACCCATTAAAACATCATCCAAATGTTACATGCTCTCTTAGGGCCAATATCGAGTGTAGTCATAAGTGCAGAGACTAATCTTTTAAGGACTTACTAGTGAGAACCATAGCAGTAAGCAATTGCTTAGAAGAAGCCTGAGTTAAAACAGGATAAGATCGAACTGCTTCCGATAACTTAAGTGCTCCAGATGATATGATCGATTCAAATGATTCCCGTATCCAATCATGAATCCCACTAAATACTTTGGAGTTCGAATTCCGCAGAACGTCCTGCAATTTAAAAAGTCCCAATGTCATTTTAAGAAGATCCTAACTTTGAAGATTCAAACACAATGGAAGAAATTTAGAGAGAAAAGATTGAGACTGACTTCGATTGTCTTCTCGATTTTCGACCAGACAGTCTCGAAAACTTTAAAGCGAAGAGTTGAGAAAAACTGGCCATCTTCTTCTTCCACCCTTTCGACCTCAGATCTCTTCGAAATTTTAGGTGAAGGTGATTCGATCCTCCGCTTGCTTTTCCCTGTGCCAGTTAATTTCCCATTGAGATTACTCCCAGACGAAGAAGCCTTGTGGAGTACAAAAAATGGCTGCCATCAAAACGGGGAAACGATTATAATTAGCTCAGAACCAAAAATTCAAACTTTGATTTTCTTTCTCGCTTCAGTGAAGAGTAATCAAACAAAATTTGACGGAGATAGAGAGAGAGAGAGAGAGGGACCCGAATATCACTCTCTGCTGTGTCGCCGGGATTGAATGAATCGGTGGTTGACGATGGCGGAGGATCGGCGACGGTGCCGGAGGGCGCCGTGCCGGAGGGCGCCATGGGAGGATTATCGTTGGTGGAGCAATCGAGAACGACGAATCTTTTTAGGGTTTTAACGCGCCTGCTTCTCGTGCCGCTCTTTTTCGCGGGAAAATGCGTGAGCCGACCACAGATGAAGAATCTCAAAACTAAACCAGATTAGACCGGAATCGGACCGGTTGAATTGAATACTTTATTTTAATTTTTCTGTTTTTAAAAACATGCATTTTCTTTTTTAATTTAAGGGTTCTTTCACATTCTATTTGAGTTTTGGTGTTCTCGTTTTAATTAATAGGGTGTAATCAGTTGGCCCTTCTCTATACTATTAAAAGAGAAGTACAAATGAAAATGGGTCGGGTTAAAATCAGAAAATTGACCCGAAATTCTGAAATCGGATTTTTGATTTTTTTTTGGAATATAAATTCGAATTAATAATGAAAAATCGAAATAAAATCAAATATTTATGGAAATCAAATAAAATTTTTTTGTACTTATGGTAACTAATAATAAAAGCATATTCCGAACAATATTATACATTAATTACGTATAATAAATTTGTTCATATATTTTTGGGACTAATTCCATAACAATCAACGTTTTTGTCATTAATTTGGCTCATTTTAGCCAATTATCATTAATTGAAAGATATTTTATTTGCTTCTAAAGATTTCTAGAAAATTTATCACAAATAACCCATCTGTTTTATAAATTAAATTGATATTTTTATTTTGGGCATGTAAATTAAATAGATATTTTTATTTTGGTCGTGTAAACTAAATAGCTATGAAATCCATGTAACTAATTTTAATTTAATTAGATTAAATCGAAATTGTGATATTTTCATACCTATAGCTTACCAAAGAAGTTTAATTTTCAATTTATAAAGATTTATTGAATATGATTTTAGAATTATTCAACAAGATGATAAATATTTATTAAATTTTGTGAATCATGAAAAATAATAATTAATTTTTAATCATTATACTTCATCTTTCAATCTCTCATCTAACAAATAAGATACATATTCTATTATTACTATGTCCAAACTTCATTTTGTTGTATTACTAAATAATATTCCCATTAGAACTGTCAAAGCGAGTTGATTCGTCCCGTTAAGTCCGTTTTGCGATAGACAAATAATATTTTGACTTGTAGTTAGTCGGTCCGCACGATCCGCGGGTAGCATATATGAAATACAAACCCGTTCCGCGAATGTATGCGGATTTGCGGGATTGTCCATGGATTTTGTTTAAATAATTTTAAAGTAACCAAAATTTAAAATACTACTAAAATAAATAAATAAATAAAAATACTATTAAAAGTTTGTTTAAATTACCACATGTTGAATAAATTATAATTTTATCAATAAATACTAATATGCGGGCTGATCCGCCAACCCGCGGATGAAAACCGATTAAACCTATGACCCACTGCGAATTAATCTATGTGGTCCGCTTATTTGCGGGTTTAATATATTTTCCCAAATCTGCCCCATAGTGAGATGATGTGGGCTCGACCCGCGGTTTTTGACCTATTTTGACTGCTTTAATTCCCATGAATCGTCTAATTTTAGAATTTTAAAACACAAAATTCTATTTTGTAAATCATAATTAATACGATGGGTATATTTATAAACAATTTTACATTTTCTCTACAATTCGTTATTATGAATATTTATAAGTATACTACACGATTCGTTCTACTGAAAAACACACACAATATTAAACGCAACGTATGTAAACCAATATTCTCCCGCGGTGGACCGCGGGTCCGATCCTAGTTTTTTAATAAAAAGACTCAAATGTTTTGACCAAATAAAGACCACACACATGTTTTTAACTAGGGAAAAATCATAAAATGAAAATGTAATCTTAAAGTCTTCCTAAATAAATATTAAATAGCAATTTAATAATGTTCCTAAATTTCTTAAGATATACACGTAATAAATACTAGGATATGACCCGCGGTACACCGCGGATTAATTATTTGATTTTTTAATCATTTTGTAAACTGATGAATTTGTTGTTTATAATATTATTTGTTGTATACCGCGGATCACATGCGTTGTAACTAAAAAATAAAAATTTTAAGTTGTATTTGTTTAGTTTAGTGTTTAAGATTGTATAATTGTATTTTGATTTGTTAATTCTAGGATTTTACCGGTGGTATATTGTCCGTATTAATATCGACCCAAACCCGTCTCACTATATATTCTCGTCTTGTGAAATTAAACATCATTTTGTTATTTTTTTAATAACACTTTTATTTAAAAGACATATAATTCGAGTCAATTTAAAAGTTTGCTTTCAAATGGTTTCCATAATATATATATATATATATTTTTAAATTAGTGTGTTTTTGGACCAACCCGTAAAAACAATTTATAATTTTATCTTAAAATACTAAATAATTGTATTTTGATTTGTTAATTTTAGGATTTCACCCGTGGTATACGGTCCCGCTTTGGATAATTGTAGAAATTAAGGAAAGATCTAAATGATTCAATTCCGGGTCAGAAAAAAAACGACCTAATTAAATACGCAAATTTGTTCTTCAAAAATGTTAATATATATTACACACGTACTTTTTTTCTTCATTGATTAAGTAATATATGTCCGTTTCAAAAAATTTGAATCATAGCATATGCAGGAAAAAATCTAAGGTTTTATTAACTACATATATTTTATAATAATTCAAATAATATAAATATAAGATCAAATAAAAGTGAAATGAGAATCATATATTTATGTATAAATTAGGTAGAGAGGTTTTAAGAAATTAGCTCAAATTTGTTATATTAGCATTAAATCATCATATTTGATTTCTTTATCTATAAAAATCATAAATAATATACCATAAATAAAGAGTTTAGATATAGTAATTAATTGAGAAAATATTTTATATATTTTAGATTTTATTAATTAATTTCGTTTTTAAATTTTGTCAAAATTTAAGGAAAGATCCGATTGAGATTTCCGGGTCAAAATTGAATCAAAATCCGACCCGATTAGAATCCCTTAAAAGTGTTGCAAAAATGTATAGTAGATTTTATATGTTAGTGATTATTTACATATTAAATGCACACAAATATATCTCAGAATTTTCAGAGAAATTAGCAGAACAAAAAGAGAGAAAAAGGGATAAGGAGAGTCAGATTCTTCTCTCTGCGTTTAAAAAGGTAATTAGTTACTGTAGTAATAAAATTAAGTAACCATGTTTAAAAGCTTTTAATATTATGTGACTAATCCAACAAATATTCGTCAAAACAAATAATTTATTGTAGAAATTTTATACGGCTGACGGAGTATTATATATATGTATATGTGGGTGTATAGATCCTGAGAGGTATATATCTACAGTTTTCATCTCTGGCTCGTGTTGTTTGTGTATATGACGAGGAAAAGCAAAAATCGAGAAGAAAACTTGGGAGCCTATCACTGAATCTTAGACCAGTGAAGGAGATAGAGAGATAGAGAGATTTTTGTCAAATCGAATCTGGATATATAGATAAGTTAGGGTTTGTAGGAGTTGGAGAGGGAAATTAGGGTTTCGTTTTTCTCAATAGGCTGATGGAGATGGTCTCGGAAGCGAATTCATGATTTTGAGACCTGAATCATGTAATGTTTATCTCCCAATTTTAGGATTTTTTTTATAAATTTTTTATCTTTAAGATTCCGTGTTTTATGGGTTCGTTCTCATATTGAGAAATTAGTTACGATTCTCTATGATTTTTATCGGTGATTGATTGATGATTTCTATTGGTAATTTGTGGGTTTTTTTCTGGGTTTGGTTTAAAATTGGAAGTTTGTTGTTTAGCTTGCTTGATGATCTCGTTTTTGTTTGTATAATGTTGTGCAGTTTTTGATATGTTCTTTGTCCCTTTGTACCAGTTGCAAGAGCTGGATAGAAATCGTTTTGCGAGTCAGGCTAATTAATTTTGTTGAAGATGGTGAGATTTGCTAAACCTCTCTTTTTCCTGTTGCCGTTTCCTGGATGAGAATAAGTGATGAAGTTGTATATTTAGCATTAGATTATGAGATCATGAACGCTTGATCGTTTTACTTTTAGTTAACGTGATCATGATAGCTTTTTTTGTTCTAAGTAATTGTACCATGAGCAGCTAATATAACAGCTTCATATATTGCTCCTGTCATAACTAGACTTTTATAGTATATGTCTCTTTTGATGATTGTTTCCTTTTTCTTAATTCTTTCTGTGCATCACTTTAACAGTTTCTATTTTGTTACATCACCTGCAGGCTGATAGAAGAGTTGGTAAGCGCCAAATGGGTCAGAGAAGTTTTTCAAAAGTGGAGTCTGGAACTTGTAATGTTTGTTCTGCTCCTTGTTCATCATGCATGCACCGTAATGTAGGTTTCACAGGATCAAAGTTGGACGAGTCATCAGATGAAAACTGTCATGGAGTAGTGGGCAGCCAGTGTTCTGTAATCGAGGACGATCTTTTGCCTTCTTCCATGGTTAATGCTCACAACAGTTTAAATAACACTACTAGTGAAGCAAGCAATCTTGTCAATTCCAGTCATGATGCTCTCTCTGAGAATGCTGAGAGTAAGGAAACTATAAGATGTTCTGGGATATCAGATGATTCCGGAGCTGTTGCAATGGCTTCTAAGACATCTCTTTCTGGGAGCAGGATGAAACATAAAGTTTCTGCATCAGCTAATATATTAGATCGGAGCTCTAACTGTATAGAGGGCCAGGAAGATGGGATATTGTCTGCTGATCGAGCCAAAAAGTTGAAATCAGGTTATTCTATTAACAAGATGGGCAACAAGGATTCAGCTGATGGTTCAGCTCTCAATTCTGATCCAATTCTGGGTGGATCTAGGAAGGATGAAGTGAAATTACAATCTTTGCATAATCCGTCATCCAACCATGATGACAGAGTTAGTTCTGAGAGGGGAAATTTTAAGGAAAAATCAGGACCAGCGGGTAACAAAGAGAGACAGGAACCTTCCGTTGAAGGATCTACGCGTTCAGGCGAGAACAGGAAGGATGGTAAGTCAAGTAAAAGCTCTTCGTCAAACTCATCGGCTGTGTCTGAGAGCGAGAGTCATGATTCTGAAATGGTGGAACATGATGTAAGTAATGCTGTTATGTCTCATATCAGAAAAAAGTTAGCAAACACGTCTACTTCGTCTTTTGTTGCAATATTTGTTCACTGGAATAATCTCATGCGAAAGGGTTGTCTTTATTTTTGCTGAATAGGTAAAGGTTTGTGATATCTGTGGAGATGCTGGTCGTGAAGATTTACTCGCTATCTGTAGTGGATGCAGTGATGGGGCAGAACACACGTAAGCCTGCTCTTCTTTTCATGGGAGAGAAAGCATACTATTGGCCAATTTCCATATGGCATTTGTCCGCATGTTAGGAGTATATTTGTTTTGGATAGATATTAATCATTGATTTTGACTGTCATGTCTTCCATCAATCATAACTCTAAGGTAGCGCCATTTTCTGTGATAGTAATACAGTTGTGTATTTCTTTTACTTAGCTATTGCATGCGGGAAAGGCTCAATGAAGTTCCTGGGGGTGATTGGCTATGTGAAGAATGTGCTGAGGAAACTGAAAAGAAGAAGCAAGGTAAAGCTGAATATTTAACCGGACATGCTATATGTGAAAAAGAATTAGCGGAATAAATTAGCATAATTTGGATCCACGTTTGCTATTTCCATTTTGTCTAATGAAGTTGAAGTTGAAACATGCAGAAGCTAAGAGAAAAAGAGAAACTGAGGTAACCCTCAATACACATAGCTCTGGCAAAAGGCACGCAGATAAAATTGAGGCAGCTCCAGATGCCAAAAGACAGGCGGTTGAGGCTTCAACTGGGTCACCCAAGAAATCCATTCTCCCCAGAATAGGTGCGTTATCTCGGGAGGCATCATTCAAGGGCTTAGACAGGTTAAGGGGAAAGCTAAATCATCAAACATCATTCAGTGATGACACAGAAAGTGCACGATCTACTGGTTCACAGCTCCAACCTCCAAAAGGTAGCAGCTGATGGGAATGCTCTTCCTAAACGCAACTCTGCCTTATCTCTGTTGTTGTATTTCTGGCGATTTTGCAGGTTGTATAACATAACTATTTTTTTGTTTCTTCAGGTGCATTTTTGAAATCCAGTTCCTTCAATTGTTCGAGCTCGAAACCGAAAGTGCAACTTATGGATGATGCTATTCACCCAAGACAGAAGACTGGCAAAGAATTTACTGCACTTGATTTAAAGGAGGGGGGTTTTAGGAATGTAGGCAAGTCAATGCCAAGTAGAACTACAGATGCAGGGAATTCTAGTGGTAACGACTCACAAGCAAAACTGCTTGGATCCAAAGTTTATCATTCACAAGAAGGGAAAAGCTTAAAGCAAGTGAAGGATCGTAATAGAGAAGCTAATGCATCAGCATCCTCCATCGACCAGAAGTTGAAGTCACGCGGCAATTTGTCTGTTTCGCATGCAAACAGTAATCGTGATTTAAAGGGTTTACAGTCTGATGGTAAACGAGGTAACTTGACGAAACAAGTCAGCAATCTAAACCGAAACCGTCTAGAAAATCCAGTTGTTTCGGGTATGATACTTATCATTTTTGTCAATAAATTGGTACTTCTGTTACTTTATCTTTGATACTACTTTGGTTGAATATGTGTTTGATCGTTTTAATATATGATCCCCCCTTTTTTAAGATATCATGATTGAGCTCCATTGTTGTATATTTCTTTCTTATGCAGGAGGAGATATTTCCACAAATGAAAAGTGCAGTGCCAGCGAGCAAAGTTCAAGTCAAGCTGACTGTAAGGACGAACTGCCATCCACTTCTTGTGCAGGTGAAGGCCTGCCAAACCACGGTACTGTAGCTTTACAGGATGGATTGCCGCGGTCCAGGGAATCTAGAGAGGTGGGGAAGAAAAGCAAAGAAGCCTTCAGTAAACGCCAAAGGTCTAACCTGTTGTCTGGTGCAAAAGGCTTACCATCATCTCAAAAGGGAGGTCAGACTGCGGAATCGAGCGACACTTCAGGCGTGTCTGATAGTGATCTCCCTACCACAAAAAACGTTAAGGAGGATTTAAATAAGGGTAATAGGTTGCGAGCAGCAGTAGATGCTGCTCTGCGTAAAAAGCCCAGCTTTGGCAAGAACAGAGTAGTGGAGCAATCTGATGCGTCTTTGGTAGCTAATGTGCCTTCAAAGATGCATAAGAATTATGTGTCACACGAAGGATTGCAAGGAGGGCATCCGACTTTATGGCCTGCTTCTGATCCGTACAAGCAGACAGTTGTAACAAATGAGAAGCAGCTTGTATTCTCTGGTGCTGATACTATACCTCCACGATCTGTGGAACCTGAAGTCAATTTTCCCTCCGTAAAGCCTGTCATGAGAGATTTGCCTTTGATCCCCACACCTGTTATGTTGAGAAGCTCAGCCATTCCGGACCATGAGTTTATATGGCAGTAGGTTTTCCTTTCTTTTGGTGAAGAAGTTCTCTTTTTGGGTGTTTATTACTTTTTCGTTGAGGCATAATTTTTATATATGTCCATATAATGCAATTTTGACTTGAAGTTCTTGTATCATTTTTCCAGGGGTGACTTAGAGGTGCGGAAAATCAGAAATCAGTCAGCTATGCATAGGGGAATGCAAGCACATCTATCAACCTTAGCATCACCCAGGGTTGCTGAAGTAGTGAATAAATTTCCAGAAACATTCAGCTTAAATGAAGTACCTCGGGAGAGTTCATGGCCTGAACAATTTGAAAAATTAGGTACTAAGGAAGACCATATAGCTCTATTCTTCTTTGCAAAGGACATTGAGAGGTAGGTTTCCTACATGATTATTTACTTTGCTCTACTTTCATGTTTGTGGTCTTAATGTTTAACTCATAAATATTGTGATACAGTTATGAGAGAAATTATAAGCCTCTGGTAGATAACATGATCAAGAACGATTTAGCCCTAAAGGGAAACCTCGATAATGTTGATCTTTTGATTTTTGCATCCAACCAGCTTCCTTCGAAATGCCAGCGTAAGAATGCTTACCAAAACTCTTACACTTCGTACCTGTGCCTATGATCATTTTGTTAATGGTATTTAGATCGTAATGCCAAAACTCTTACACTTTGTGCACATGATCATCTTGTCGATGACTCTTCAGTCATGCTGCAATGCTATCTGATAAGTTTTTAGAAAGTAGCACCGATGATTCAAAAGTATACTCAGAACGACATCTTGATATATTTCCCTTTCAGGCTGGAACATGTTATATTTCCTTTGGGGTGTATTCCAAGGAAGAAAAGAGATTTGCACTAACTCACAAAAGAGCACATCTTTGCCTACTTCAAATGGTTTGCCGTGTGACAGAGACCCCAATGAGCTGTGTGAAACGAGTTCTCCTTCCAAGCATTTGGAGAAAGCGTCTTCTCTACGTGAGAGCTCACGCAACAGAATTGAAACTCGGAATGGGACTGATTCACTAAGTCATGAAAATCCAAATAACAGAGAATCCTCTATTGAGCGATCACCGAGCACAACGGTGGGTAGTTCTTAGTCCCTGTGTAAATCCTTTATATCTGAACTTGTTGTAGGACATTTCCATCTCTTAATATAGGGAGTCCCTTTTCGTCTCACTCTTGTGTTCCTTAGTACAGGAGGAAATAGCTCTTAAAATGGAGGAAATAGCTCTTAAAATGGAAGAAATAGGTGTGAATCATATCCCTCCTCAAGCTACTGGATCAAATTCTGGAGATAGTCTAGTGAGGAAGGTTCAGCAAATCGAGGAACAAGAATTAGGTGGTAGAAAGGATCTGCCTTTGACGGTCATGGGCTCAGGGATCCAGTCCCATGGGCAAGACAATCCTCTAGAGAAAGATCTCAACTGTAGTCAGGCTAGTCACAGGAAGCGTCCACTTTGGGAACTGACAAGACCCGCTAACGAGGATTCCTCTGCCATAAACCAGAAAGTGGAGCTCAATAATGACGGTTTATGCGAAGGATCTCCGAATAAGAAGCTGAAGACAGAAAACGGAAGCAGCAGCCTCTGCCGGGATACATCTGGTCATGATTCTGGGATCATGAAAAAGAGTCCCAAAGTCGTGTTCCCATTGGACTTGAATGTCGAAAGAGACGACAGTGAACTGGTCGATAATATTAGCCCACTTGGCAATGACGATAAGAATGAGAGCAGCAACAAGAGAGGGCTAATAAGCGGTAGAGTCCCGAATCTGGAGCTGGCATTAGGAGCTGAGGAAACAATAACAGAAGAAGCCACTATGGGACTATTGCCTTTCTTAAGCAGAAGTGGCAACTCGGGTGAAGAAAGTAATAATAGTATGAATAAAGAAAAACAGAAAGCAGATGAAGAAGAAGATGACTCGGCAGTGGCAGCTTCTCTGTCGTTATCACTCTCATTCCCGGGAAATGAGGAGAGGAAGAATGTGAATACTCCGTTGTTCCTGTTCAGAGACCTTCCCAGATAATTAAGTTATTATCGCAAGTTTTTAAATATATTTTGAGTGTCTTTAGTTGTCTTTTGGTTGGTGAAGAAGACTCCAACGAGATAAAATCACAGGTTTTGTATATAAAAGTGGTGATGGGATTAAAAAAAAAAAGATACCGAATGTTTTTAAAATAATAATTGGTTGATATATCTATATCTATATCTATAGAAAGGCAAAATAGTGATCTGAATTCATTTCTCTATAGTCTTTGTATTATTTTTGTCGAGTTACAAATATATAATTGAAACCGATGCTTGTTTGATTTTGTTTTGGTTAACATACTGTATGATTTATTTGAAGAAATTTGGTCTTTTTTCTTTTTTTTTTTTTCCACAAAAAGTGGTACCATTTTATATCATCAGATGTTGCAAGATACAACTGTGGAAACTTCCACTTACAAACCAACTTAAACCTTGTAAGCTTACAATGGATTTACAAAAAAACAAAAGATCCATTGTTCAAGAGATAGAACATTTTCATCAAGTCAAGTTTCCATCTTAGTATGAAGCTTAAACATCCTTCCTTCATAAGCTTCAGAAGATATGGTCTTTCCAAAAGGTACTTGTAAGATCATATCCTTTTATTCAAACCCTTAAGCTGCCTTAAAACCTTACGCAGCCTCGCCAAAAAGTGTTGGACAGAATCAGTAGAGTGTTTCATCGTTTTTTTGGAGGCTTCAGAATTCCTCCTTGGAGATTAGCAATCCTTGAGGAGGACAGATACCTTCTTGCATGAACAGTTTCTTCAGGATTCAATGGTGGAGTAGCCACTCTTGGAGGAGTTGATCTTGGTGCAGGAAAGGAGTAGTCTGAATTCTGAGATTGAGAGTTCATGTTAGACCTCTGAAGATTATCCTGAAGAAATCTTCTCTCTCTACCCGCAAATGTATGATCCAAATGATCATCACTTCTTCCTCCATCAATAGGCTGACCATAAGGACACTGATTTCTTTGATGATTAAACCTCAGACAGTTGGTACATATTCTTCTGAGACGTTCATATTGAAAACGGATCACAACTGTCTCACCTGCATCAATCAAAGCGTATTCTTTGAAAGAACCTTAACCTATCCGATATTCCAAACCCGAATATAGGCTATCTGAATGGAAGTGGTCTCATTTAACTAGTGTTAAATCATTTGTTTGTTTATATGAATCACCGTCTTCAATTTCGTAAGTATATAGTATTATTAGATCAATTAAAATCAGAAATAATAAGAACGAGGAGGGTATGATCGTAGTTTCACATATAATTTGCCAAGAAGGAGATGAAAGATAGATATATCCAAAACATGTCAGCATAATTAATTTTGCTCAGATCTCTCTCTCTCTCTCTGCTTCGTTTTCAATTCCAATGGCGTCCTGTATTGCAGCTGCTGCTCTTTCTCTCTCTGGTAATCGATTCCTTTTCGCTTCTCCTCGATCCTTAATTTCTCTACTTTACCTCCTTTTGTTTCCACCATTCGAATTTCATCTTCGAGGTTTCTGATTGAATTATTCGGTATGGTGGAGACACTTGTTAAGTTGATCGTGCATCGTTCCGAATCAATTTCGAGGGAATTCATTTTTAGCAAGCTTCTTGATTCTGGTTGTTCTTGAATCTGGTCGCACAGGTGGCTCTCAATCTCATTATGTGAAAGCTAATGGATTGTCTACAACAAAGCTCAATTCTATTTGTAAAACATCTGCTTTGCCTATTCACAAGAAATCAAACCGGACTCGCAAGTTTTCTGTTTCTGCAGGGTATCGGCGTCGCTTGACCTTTTTCTCTTCTGTTCAATTCACTTAAGCTTATGAAACATAATTTGTTGAAACTTAATTCAGAGATGGGAGTAGGAGCGAAAGCAGTGGTGATTTCATAGCTGGTTTTCTTCTAGGAGGTGCTGTCTTTGGCGCTGTTGCTTATATCTTTGCTCCACAGGTTAATCTTTTACTCTTTAGAAACCTTAATGGGAATTAGACAATATGTAGCTCTTGTTTTCAATGGTTTTGAATTATGTTACACTTACTACTGTTTTGGTTTTGTCTATTGAGCGGCAAAAACAGATTTCATAGACTGTTACACTGGTTAGATTTTGATTGGTTCTTGGAGCTTTGGATGATATTCTTTTTTTATATATCTTTCTCATGCAATCTAAGCTGATGGTTTTTATTTTTGTTCCTTGTGTTTTGGTGATTTAGATCCGCAGATCGGTTCTGAATGAAGAAGATGAGTATGGTTTCAAGAAGCCGCAACAACCAACTTACTACGATGAAGGTTTAGAGAAAACAAGAGAGACACTGAATGAGAAAATAGGACAACTTAATTCAGCGATTGACAATGTTTCTTCGCGTTTAAGAGGTCGAGAAAAGAACACTTCTTCCCCAAATGTGCCGGTCGAAACTGACCCAGAGGTTGAAGCTACGACTTGAAGAAAGAAACAAACAGCTTTCTTCTTCTTCTTCTTCTTCTTCTTCTTCTCTGTGTTTCATTTGTAACTAGAGTTTTAAAAGAAAACATTCATTACTCAAGGGTTTGATTTGGTTCTTTTCTTTTTGTTGCTTTTGTGTTCAGTAGAACTCTTGCAAAAGGCTTTTTTTTTTTAAGTGACAGTAATATACTCCTAAGATTTTGTAACGTAAATTTATTTTTTATTTTTTTCGCCATAAATTTATTTTTTTAAAAGAAGATTTTATGTTTATTACAAAGTGGATAAGGTTTGAAATAATCTGAAAAAATACAAGGAAAAAGAAAAAAAAAAGGACAAGAGAGATAAACATTGGCCGGTGGCCTCGTCACAAATCCAAAATATCCCAAAAGGAACCGAAAACGAAAACGAAAACTCATAAAGCCAAAGCCTTTCTTCTTCTTCTTCCGATTATTCTAAAAGTTTCGATTTTGATTGATTTTTTTTGTTGTTGAACGGAAAAAGAATCAGCTCCATTCACTTTAGGGTTTTGGGTTTCTGTTTTGTCTCTATCAGATGATGTGCGAGGAGATTCTTCCTCTGTTTGTCTCTGTTTCAGATGGAAGACAATGATAAGTCTCCCCCTAAGGTAAAAATCACCGCTCTTTCGTTTCAATTTTGCCTTGGAATAATGCCTGAGCTCCATTAGATAATGTCTGGTTTTGCTTTGAGTGGAAATATGAAGAATTGATACAGTTTCGTTTAGTATTACTCTTAGATTCAAGGGTTTATTTATGGATTCTCTAAAATTCTGGAAACTGATTATGTTTGCATGTTCTCTTTTCATTTTCAAGAATGCCCATTTGATTTTGATTTGTGAGTTTTTGTTTGTTTGAAGGATTACTATAAGATTCTAGAAGTTGATTACGACGCAACTGAGGAATTGATCCGACTCAATTATCGGAAGCTTGCTTTGGTATGTGAACTTAAAGACTCAACAATCCTTAAAAAATTTGTTATTGCTTTGATTGAATTTTATGGTTCTGGATTGGAAGAAAGTTTTTGCTGAGAATGTATTTGTGGTTTCCGTGTACAGAAGTGGCATCCTGATAAGCACAAAGGCGATAGTGCAGCTACAGAAAAATTTCAAGAGATAAATGAAGCTTATAATGGTAAGTCTTTCTTTTGCGTTGTCGGTTTCCATGCATCGGAACACCAGTACCCGGCCTAGATAGTGGCAAGCTTGAGTGATATTTGCTTTTCTTTATTGGTCTAGAAAGAATAATTCATGACGGAACAGAGAAGGAAGCTAAAAAAATGTAGAAAGCGGCTGGACGTTTTAGGAAGAGTAGGAAGAAATAAAGTTTAGCAATGAGAGAAAAAATCAATAAAGCCTTCTGCTTTATCCATTTAGCCCCTTAACCCTTATAGTATATTAGCTCTGCTTAAGTACTGATACAACTCTATATGGTTTCAGTCCTCTGGTAATTTTAGGTTCCCTCTCCATCTCTGCCTCTCTGTTTAATTATTTCTCTATGTTGTTACAGTTTTTTTGTTTGTCATATATGTTTTCCATCAACACTTGAAAATATGATAGAACAATGCTCTCTGTCTCTCTTTCTCCCTCAAGCAATGTCTCGAGTCAATTTTTTTCATAATGTGGTTTAGCTTCTTCTTCTTTTTTGGCAGTGCTGATGGACCCTGCTAAACGTTTTGAGTATGATTTCACTGGTATTTATGAGATCCACAAGTATACTTTACGGGTATGTATCATATCATTTTGGGATTACAAACCATTACTTTACATTTGAACAAAAACATGGGATCTAGGTTTGACTGACTATCTGAGATATCCCAAACTCATTCTTCAACGCAGGAATATCTTGCCAGATTTAAGGGGATGATACTCACATGCAATGGGCTTGGTATCAGCCAATCCTCATCACCATGGTAACAACCTCTTCAGATTATTTACTGATTTTTTCCTCCACAATATCAAATTCTTATATATCATATCACGAAACTATGCATATAGTAGCTTGTCTTCATCGGGTAAAACTTTGCATGCAGGACACATCAATTGGCGGAGACCACCAAACAGCAGACGAGCAAGGTAGGTTTTCTTTTCCTTTTATCTCTTTGTGGCATTGCGAATTAACTATATAAGTCTTGCAAAACCTATTTGAAACCTAAACTCTTGGATCCATTTCTGTACTCATTATCTTCACAGGATACTGTATAAACTGAAGCAGAAGTTAGAAGAGAGCTGTAAAACTGTACAAAACTGGAGCTGTTGCGCTTTTTATCGCGCATTGATGATATAGTGAAATGCTTTAATTAGGTCTGTTGTATTGTTTCTTTATCGATGTAGAATTAGAGAAGCTTCTATTGTCGATGGCTTCTATTCATACATTCACACATTGGTGATGGTTCAAATCTTTTACTATACTATTCTCATCATTCATGGTTTTTCCAGACTTGAAACATAAAGTGAATAATACAATCTGAAATGAAGCTTCAATCTTGGACATGTATTTTTAGGCTTTGTAGCTAGCTGGTCAATTAGTCAGTGTAAGACACTGTTTTTTTTTTTTTTTTTGAGAAGTAAAATTGTTCTTTTACAACACAATCTGGAAGCTTGATTCAAAGTGACAAGTAAAGAAACTTGAGAAATGATATTCAAAAACTTTGTAAGACATTCAAAAACTTATACAGAAACTTTGTTAAAGAATACATAAACAAACATTAGTATACAGTATATGAAAGAATGTACAATTCCCAACTGAAAACTAAAATAAGTCAGTAACCTGAGAAGAGATGGCTTAATATGAAAGAATCCCAACTTGGTTTCGAAGGACCTGCGTTTATCATTTCAAGGGCAAACATCCTCTCGGAGAGCCGGTTATACATACAATGCAAGCTTCGATACTGTAATGTCTGTCAATAAATCGACTATGATACTATGCAGCTTATGCGCTAATATTCACAATCTCTATGGTTTCTCCTAATACATATGAACATGTGAAAATTAGCTCATTCCAGAGTATCTCAAAATTGGCTTCGAAAGATCTGAGTTGATCTTTCCAGGGGCAAACATCTCATAGGAAGGAGCCTGACCAGGATAAAAATATCTTGCAAGCTTCCCTGAGATACTTAAGATGATGCTCTTAGTCCTAATTAGCTTCACTATACGTAACATTCATTTGGCAAAATTCCATCTTCTTTCATTTTTCTAAACAGCGCATCTGCTTCACCCCGTAGCCCTTTCTTGTACAATCCTAACATCATTGCAGTGTATGTCCAAATATCAGGCGTTAGTCCTTTGAGATTGAGGCTACAATATAAATCCCAAGCATCTGCCACCTCACCAGCCTTGCACATCCCGCGAATGATGATATTATATGTAACGATATCAGCATCCATCCCACTCTTCTGCATATCTGCCAATATCACCAATGCTTTCTCTATCTTCCCATTATCGCATAGACCATGTAACAAAACGTTGTAAGTGATAATATTAGGAGGCACACCACAAAAAACCATCCATTTGAAAATTTCTTCGGCAACATTAAGTTTACCCGCTCGACAATAACCCTGGATAAGAACTGTATAAGTGACTGTATTTCTAACCACTCCTCTCTGAGACATCTCGCAGAAGAGTTTCATCCCATGCTCTACCTTTTTAGACTTGCAATATCCATTAATGAGAATACTATAAGTTACAACATCTGGAAAGCAACCCTTGCTAACCATGAAACCAAACATTTGCTCTGCTTCATCTAGGCGACTGTACATGCAAAGCCCGTAAATCAGTAAACTATAAGTAACAATATCAGGATCCAGAGATCTTCGGATCATCTCCTCGTACAATTCTTCAGCCTCAGAAATCCTTCCTTCTTTCACACAAGCATCAATCAACGCATTGAAAGTAAATACATCAGGGTAGATTTCCCTCTTGGTCATACAGCTGACCATTCGAGTAGCATCATCCCATCTACCCGAATTACAAAGTCCAGAAATAAGAGAGTTGTAGGTAACAGCGTCCGGTCTAATCCCATCTACCTCCATCCGGTTCAAAAGATCCAACGCGTTATCCACCTGTTTGCTTTTGCAAAGACCATCAATGATTGTATTGTAGATCACAACATTAGGTTCATATCCCATTTCTACCATTCGATCAAACATATACAAAGCATCGTAAATCCTATCACCGCGACAGAAACCGTTAAGCAGAGAGCCAAACGTGACAATGTCAGGCTCATGACCAAGTTTCATCATCTTCCCAAGAAACGACAACGCAAGAGAAAGCTGAGAACATCGACAGAAACAATTCAACAAGATATTGCAAGTACAGAGATTATGTGGAATCCCCAACATTTGCATTTGTTCCCAGAGATAGATCACAACATCATACTTCTTCATCTTGGAAATAGCACTTAATAATCTACTAAAATCAGCAATTGACGGAAGAGGACGACACTGAACCATGTGAAAGAAGAGATCAAGCGAATCGTCTAGTTTCATATATCGAATCCCATTTCTCAACATTTCTCGATAATCACTGCCACCGGAATAAGCTCGTCTCGAGAAACACAAACCGCAAATGCTAAACGACGACGACGGAGAAGTTCCGGAATTACCTTTCTCCAGAAGATTCCGATGAAGAAACGACTTCGCTTTTGAAGAAATTGATCTCCTCATGCTTCGAAGCTTGAGTTTTCGCTCTCAATCTCAGGATTGTTTCAGAGGAGGAGCGAAGTGGTAAAACCTCCCCAATTCTCAACCGGTTTAGAAGTCATCTGAATTTTTGTTGGGGTTTTCGGTTATTTAAGGGTTATAAACCAAACCGGATCAGAATTAAACCGGTTCTAATTTCAGCCAACAACATGCATTATGTTAAGTAGTAGTAGTTCTTAAAAGACAAATTTGGACATCTCAGACAGTTTGGTCGGAAATTTCAGATGACGCTACTTACTGCTTCTTAGAAAGTTAAGCATTTTATTTTGTTTTGTACATTTCAACATTCATAGTGGTTTAAATATATCTTGTACATAATCGATCTACGCAAAACATGAATGATTTAAATATATCTTGTACATAATCGATCTACGCAAAACATGAATGATAATCTAGTAGTTATATACTAGTTTATTAAAGAGATAAAACCCATCACTCGACGTTGTGTTTTTTATTTAGCTTAAATTCATTTACATTATAAAGATTTTACAGCAATTTTACAAATAACAACATGATTATTATGATATTATCAAATTTTCTAGCAAATTAAGAAGGATTTTAAAGAAGTTGGCCACTTATCCACCTCTGAAACAAGATAAAGCTTTCATTTGGTTTATATTCTGCTGTATGTCCACCTCCCTGTAAATCAAACAAAATTAAAAACCATTTCTTATGCAATGTTAGGGAAAATTATTTATATAATTTCAATAGAAAAAGAGAGAGACAAAAAAAGACTTGCTTTGACAGTAGCAAATGTCATTTTATTGGCATAAGTTTGAGTGTATCCAGCAACTTGATTGTTTATCATCCATGGCCTCCAATTATCAGTAATGGAATAATTAAGAGATCTTATCCATGCTTGTGTTGAGAGGAACGGCACCTCTATGTCGTGATCACCACTATTCACCAAAAAAAAAATCCCTCAACAAAACTTTTTAAAATTTGTATAAGGTCAGAAAGTTGAAAATCATTCAATCTAACCTATAGATGAGAGATCGGTAGCCTTTGATACTGTTATTCATATGGTATGGTACACTGCTTTTAATGTTCTTATTATAAGGAATCTCCACATAACATCGTACCCATTTTCCTATACTTCCCTGAAATCATATTAAGAGTTTCGACGTTATTTCTTTACCAATAAAATCATAACTTGTCATATATGTGTTACTTCTGATATACCTTTACCACATGAAGTGCTTCACGAACGCTCTCATTATTGGCCCAGCGGGAAGATATCAAGTCTGTATATGTCTACAAGTGGGTGCAAAACCAGTCTTGTGTAAATATTTTTGTCTCAATGATTCATTACTTACTTTTCCAATATTGATCCAAATACATAGCATATATGAAGAGCAAGAAGATGGATTTGCGTACATAGCAATCAGTAGATGGAACCCAAGGGTTTGCAAGGACGAGTTCTTCAATGTATCTTCTTGGGGACGACGCCACTTTGCACAGTGGTTCTAAAATAAAAGCCAAATTTATTCCTGAAATACACTGCAATTGTAAACAAAACAAAAAAAAAAATGAAATCCACAAAATAAATTGTGTACTATTTTTTTTTATGTTTTTTTGCGATTTAGGAAATGATATTAGACCGATGAACAATTGAACATGCATTATAACAATTACATGATACAAGTACTTGTATCATGAGTGTATACCTTTTGGAATTCTTCAATGAGGTTCAAGCATTCTGTGCTAAGTGGATCTACATTTGCATAATTTCCTTTGCAGCTTCTCGTCAACGACTGCATAAAACAGAGTTTTGATTTTTTTTTTTTTCTTTGTTGTTGTCGATCTAACTTCATTAACTAATGTGGTTTATTTTGTACCTCGTAGAGTTCATCAGAGATCAATGCCATTCCATGAGCAAATGGAATTTGATAATTCTTTTCACACTCGGTGTTTGTTGCCGGGTTTCCTAGCACATAACCCTATTGTAGAGAGAAATTAATAAAATTGTCAATTTTAATTTTAGTTGCAAACTATTTATATAACATATGAAGCAGCCAAGTACACAAAGACCTGAAGATTTATCTCATGTTCGAATCCAAGATCATTTCCTGCATCATGTAAAGACTGTATTAAAGTGGAAAATATATAATTAAAGTAACTAGGCATCTAGAGAGAAAAGAAATTAATGAAAGACCCCCATACATACCTTTAGAGATTTCTTGAATGGTGGCCCGAACAACCATACCAGAATACGAATCTCCGCCGACATAGAATGGATTCGATATAAACTCTGTATGCTTGCTTAGCCACTGTATGACAAAAAATAAAACACTCTAAATTAGTGTTTTCACCTTACATATACAAAGATAATGAATGCTTCAAGAGACAATTAGTTAAGTTTTGTCTTTTCACCTTACGAAGAAACTCATGGATCCGCTTAGCTTCTCCAGAGTCACTTGGTGTATCAAGAAGTTGAGTTGTGGCGTAGGAGAAGCCAGTCCCAACAGGCTGGTCCAAGAACATCATGTTCGCCACCTAAAAACAATGATCCAATTAAAACTTAAAAACAATATATCCAACTAAGAATATTAGAACGATCCACATGAGAAGCATTTGTTAGTGGTTACCTTTGTCCATGCATATGTAGTAGAAACCAAGGTGGGGCTACCTCCATTGTAACCATCAACCTTTAAAGTCACAGGTCCTGTTTATTTTTTTTCAATTCAAACCATTGTTTTAAAAAATCAAATTATGAAGCGAATCATATATAATGTCTTGGAATCACTAAATTAATTACAGTACAATTACAAACCACTAGAACCACAGATCCCTGGATCAGTAGATTTTGATATTAATTTTTATAATATCTCATTTACGTAAAGTTTTCTTTTCCAATTTAAAATGAATAAAGTTTCATTCTTCTTTCCATAGTGTTTTATTTTTTAAAACATTTAATCACTTCTAATATTTTTAGAGTATTTTCACCCAATATTTAGGAGATAACTTAAAAATAATAATTAACACGTTTGGGTGATTTTAGTCATCATTTTATATGTTACGAGACAAATAATTGGTTTCAGTAACACACACTAAGTTTTTATTTTTTATTTTTATTTTATTTTAAGTTTTACCGTTTTCCAAAAGAAGACCAGAGATAGAAGAGCAACCAGGCCCACCGCTTAACCAGAGAAGAAGAGGGTCTTCTTTTGGATTCTTCTCAGATTTTATAAAGTAGTAAAACAATTGCACTTCTTCTTCTTCACCAACACCAATATACCTTCATTATCGCAACAATCGATTTATAGTTTTGGTTTCATTCTTTAACACAAATACACACATGCATGCAAGAAGATCATCATCATATATAAGAAAAAGATACAAACCCGGTTTCTAGCTCGAAGGGAAGAGGACCTTCAAAACCAGGAAGAAACTTGACAATGGAACCAGAATTTGCATGTGGACTCAATATAAGTAAAAGAAGCAGCAGCAGCAGCAGCAGCAACTTCTTTGCCATTTTTTAATTACTCGTCGCTATTGCTTTTGGGAGAAAATATGGAATATTTTATTTACAAGAAATGTAGAAGTGGGTAGGTAGTACCTAGGGCCTAGGTAGTGGTGTTTTATTTTCACTCTTAAAATCTAATTTAAAATAAAATCTCTATGGGGTTTAAGTTTTGCTTATGCATCCAAATTTATCGGACCGGCACTGTCCGTTGGTCATTGAGTCGCCGTAATTGTTTTCTTCTCCGGATATATTAGTTGTCAACGCACTTTTTTCGAATAAACTAGATACAACTATTAAATTGTTCAACAAACTTTTAAAGTTTTCCATTACAATCAAGTTTGTTTTGTTGTACACTTCCAAATATTTATTCATAATTTATTTTTCGCAAATACCATAATTTTAATGGTTAATACTTCATACAAAAAAATTACTTTAGAAATATATAAATACGGCTTACACAATCTTTGTTTTGTGTAATTTAGTAGTTTTGTTTTGTCAACGATCATCTAGACAAACCTTAGCCGAAATCAAACTGAAAACTTGATTAGACATCCTTATAACCCAACTCTTTATTTATCTTTCCATCAACGATGTTTACACTAAATAGATTCAACAGAATTTCTACAAATAAGAATGCAAATATATTATCAATGAATTGCAAAGAGACAATTTTATAGAAGTTGGCCAGTTAACCATCTCTGAAACAGGATAGAGCTTTCCACTGGTGTATATTCTGCTGTATGCCCACCTCCCTGTAAATTGAAATCAAATCTTTAACCATTTTATATGCAAAGTTAGGGAAATTAAAGATTTGTATAAATGCAATGGAAAAATAAAAGACTTGCTTTGACAGTAGCTAATGTCATCTTATTGGCATATGTCTGAGCGTATCCACCAACTTGTTTGTTTATCATCCATGGCTTCCAATTATCAATGATGGAGTAATTAAGAGATCTTATCCATGCTTTTGTTCCGATGAAAGGCACCACCATGTCATGATCGCCACTATTCTCCAAAATAAAATCTCAACAACTTTTATATCAACTCTTGAAACTTTGTATCAGATTAGAAAGTTGAAAATCCATCAATCTTCTTACTTGTAGATGAGAGATCGATAACCTCTGATGCTGTTATTCATATGGTATGGTACGCTGCTTTTAATGTCCATATTATAAGGCATAGCGTAAGAAGCACATCGAACCCATTTTCTTATACTTCCCTTAAGTCATAAATAATATTTGGAATGGTCATTTGTGTAATAATTTCGGCCCAAAAATCTCAAATGTATATGTTATAAAAGTTCATTGACATGAATATTAAATATAATATTTATAAATATTCTTCAAATCTAAAACGAATATTGATCTGATGATTTGAACAAAATACTTTCAAGTCTACTGCATGCTATCATAAATATATTAAGCATTACTCTTATAATGACTTTAGTGCGTTTAAAATGATTTCTAAATAAAAATAAATACTATTTTCAAATATTGTAATAACAAATCATAATAATGTTTCTAAATTCATCCAAAACTATTACTACTTTTTATATCAAAACTTAAATCCTTCAAAATATTAGAGTTTCGATAGTATCTTTAGCATTAAAACTGTGACTTAAAACCAAAACTTGTCACATGATACTTCTATATACCTTGACCACATGAAGTGCTTCGCGTACATTCTCGTCATTGGCCCAGTTGGAAGCTATCAAATCTGTACAGCTCTACAAGTGGGTGAAAAATTAATCTTGTGTAAATACTTATGCCTCAATGGTTTGGTTGTTCATTACTTTCCAACATATATATATATATATATATATATATATATGTGTGACAGACTCACAGTTAACATAAAAGTAGACACAAGATGGAATTGCTTACATAGCAATCAGTAGATGGAACCGACGGGATTGCAAGTACGAGTTCTTCAATGTATCTTCTTGGGGAGGACAGAACTTTGCACAGTGGTCTTGTAACAAGATTTATATTTATTTTAGCAGTGCACTGAAAATTTAACCACACCAAAAAAAAAAAAAAAAAATTTAACTCTACTATTTTTTGTTGTTCAAAAAATTCAACTCTACTACATAAGTTTTTTACTATCTTCTGTATATTTCTTGATTTAGGAACACCGAATGATATTAGGCTGACGAACAATTAACACTTACCATGCTTAGGGCCACAATTTTTTGTTTCCATTATTTTGGGCCCCGCATTTTTAAAAACCATTGATTTTTAGGACCACAAAATTTAAAAACAAAAAACAAAAATGTTGTTATATATATATATATATATATATATATAGATAGATTTAACTATTTTCAGTGTTTTAAGAATAAAATTTGGGTTGTGTGGCACGTGAATATTTGTGTAAGGTCACAAAATAAGAGAAGTCATTTTTTTGTTTGTTTTAAGAATTGTTTTTTTCATACCAAAGAATTGTTTTTTAGAAAACATTCTAAACAAGATTATGCACATGTTTTAATAAACAATCATTGTTTAATTATTTATTTTTATTAAACTTTTTTAATAAACTATGAACCAATAGTAATCTAATACAGTTAATCATTACGTCTTGAAATCTACGATTTATTAATATCAATTAATTAAAAATAAAGAAAAAATCTAGAAAATCAATCTTTGTGGAACAAACCTAAAACATTAGAACATCAAACTTTTAGGAACGGAGGGAGTACTATTTTGAGATTTTGAATACTCCCTCCGTTTCGTTTTACTTGTCGTTTTAGAATTAAAATTTTGTTTTATAATAGTTGTCGTTTTAGGTTTTCGATGCAAATGTTTTGTGAAAATTCCAGTTTTATCCCTACTATTTTAATGTTTCGGCCAATAAATTTTTTTATAAAATATATTAATAAAGGGTAAAACAGAAAATTTAATGTTTTTTATAATTTGTGTGAGAAATCCTTAAACGACAACTAAAACGAAACGGAGGGAATAATAAATATCAGAAATGGCCACATTATTTTCTTGCTTGGGGCCACAATTTTCATTGGAACTATTAGAGCGTATAGCCGTATACCTTATTGTATTCTTCAACATATTTCAAGCATTCTGTATTAAGTGGATCTACATAAAAATAAATTCCTTTGCAACTTCGCTTCAACGACTGCACACAAAAGAAAGAAGTTTTGATTTATGTTTTTTTTTTTTTGGTTATCTAACTCCATTAATTCGGTACAATTTGTACCTCATAGAGTTCATCAGAGATCAATGACATTTCATGAGCAAATGGAATGCGAAGGTTATGCTCAATTTCAGTGTCTGTTACCGGATTTCCTATCACATAACCCTATTATTGAGACAAAATGAATTTGTCAGTTTCAAATGTTAGTTGCAAAATTTTGTATATGACATAGGAATAAACCAAGTATGAATGTTTGAAACCTCAAGATTTATTGGAGGTTTGAACCCGAGATCAATTCCTACACGGTCGGCATCATCATGTGAAAACTGTTATAATGTGGGAAATACATAATAATAATAATAAAAGGAACACCTAGAAAGAAAAGAGATGTATGTAAGAACACACACATACCTTTGGAGATTTCTTGAACGGTTGCTGGAATAACCTTACCAGAATAAGAATCTCCGCCTACATAGAAAGGATTTGAGATAAACTCTGTATGCTTGCTTAGCCACTGTATAACAACAACAACAACAACAACACAATGTTGCCATACTTGCATCAACCTGAAGACTAATCGAAGCTTGATACTCGATGAACAAAAATCAAACCAATCGCAATTGAGGAAGACAAAGAATTCGACAACTCAATCAAGCACATAATGAAAACAGAGAAGAACAAAAGAAAAAAAAGAAGCTGGTGGCATGCGATGTTTACGAGTCTCAATCGGTGTTATCAATACTACTTCTCGTCTATAACGGAATCCAGCAATACGTCTAGAGCTTAACCAGGTGATTCATATTTACCATTCAACAAACAATACTAACAAAACCACTCTAAATAATTTCTTTCTAGAAAAATATAAATGCTTCAAGAAACGCTTTTAAGTTTGTATTTATTTTACCTTACGCATAAACTCATGGATCCGCTTAGCTTCTCCCGAGTCACTTGGTGTTTCAAGAAGTTGAGTTTTTGCGTAGGAGAAGCCAGTCCCAACAGGCTGGTCCAAGAATATTATGTTCGCCACCTAAAAACAATAATCTAAAACTTGAAAAACTACATCAAAGATACTAAAACGAGCCACATGACAAGCACTCTTTGTATAATGTTACCTTTGTCCATGAATATGTAGTAGAAAGCAAGGTGGGGCTACCTCCATTGTAACCATCAACCTTGAATGTCACAGGCCCTGTTTATTTAATTTCAATATAAACAAAGTGTTTTTAAAACTATATTTAAACTAATAAAATTTACAAATTCATTTCTTGTTTTTCTTGTTGTAAAATTTGATATTTTAACCATTAAAAAAAAAAAAAAAAAAAAGAGTCTTACCGTTCTCAAAAAGAAGACAGCGACAGAAGAGCAACCAGGTCCACCGCTTAACCAGAGAAGAAGAGGATCTTCTTTTGGATTATTCTCAGATTTTATAAAGTAGTAAAACAATTGCACTTCTTCTTCTTCACCAACACCAATATACCTTCATTATCACAAACAATTGATCTTACTAAATAATTTAACCCTTAAAACTCAAAAACACATGCAAGAAGATCATATATATGATATAAGAAACACAAACCCGGTTTCGAGCTCGAAAGGAAGAGGACCTTCAAAACCAGGAAGAAACTTGACAATGGAGCCAGAATCAGCATGTGGCGTCAAGACAAGTAGAAGCAGCAGCATCGACAACTTTATTAGAACCATTGATGGAACATACTCATGATTAGTCATTTTATTTTTGTAGCTTCTAATGATGAATTCGATTCCTTATAAATACAAACACATGTTTATAAACTACTAAAAGAAGAAGATGGAGTAGTTAGGTAGCATTTTTATTTATTTCATAGCCTTTGAATAGGGGCCCTTCTTCCCCATATTTGTGTGGATGAGCCATTTCCAGTTTTCCACATTGGTAAGGTTGGTTTTGTCGACATTTCTATCCCCCAAAAGAAAAGTTTTTTTTTTTTTTTAACGCCGATATCTAAGTAAGCAATTTGGAATAATTTTATTTTTATTTTGTTGGGTTCTTTCTTCCTAACAACAACAAATTCAGAATTGGGTTATTGGGTATAATATTTTTGAAAAAAAATTTTGGACAGATTCGTAGAGCCATGGGTAGCTAAAGTTATTGCGGTTGTTAGAGATATACAAGTACCCATAAATATGTTTAAATAAGTATAATAAGGGACATTGATGAAGTCGTGTTGTAGTATGTACACATTTCTAGTTCTTTCAAGGTGTGGCGTTCAAATGGGCCACCATGACCATCTAAATCTGCACGTGACAAATACTTTTATTAAAAATTTTGATTTTATATTTTCAAAGCTTTTATTATCTCTCGATATGTAGTTTAAAAAATCGTCTTTATTAATCAGTCATCACAAAATGAAATAAGTCTACAAAAAAAATATCGAGAAAAAAATATAGAAATTATTTTTTATAAAATTTTAAACTTTTGAATTATATGAAATTACAAATATAAATAATATTATCAACACTAATTATACATAGAGAAATTGTTAAAAATGCCCCTTTTTCAATACCCCTTTTCAAAAATACCCCCTTTGAGAGTCCATTTTTAAGTTTGCCCTCTTTTAATTTTTAATGACCATTTTACCCTTATTTGAAACAAAATTAGGTCCACAAAATACAAAATATTTTTTGGCGGGAAAAGTGATCCCGCAATTTTCCCGCCAAAACACTTGTAAAAACCTTTAAAAAACCTTGTAAAATTTTCCCGTAAAAATTTTTCCTGTCAAAAAATTTTCCCGCCAAAAAATTTTTTTTGCGGGAAAAGTGATTCCGCAATTTTTTTTGCGAAATTTTTTTGGCGAGAAAATTTTTGGCGGGAAAAATTTACAAGGTATTTTAAAGGTTTTTTACAAGGTATTTACAATTGTTTTGTAAGGTTTTACAATGTATTTTAAAAGGTTTTACAAAGTACTTTTAAGGTTTTATAAGGTATTTATAACTTGTAAAACCTTATAAAAACCTTGTAAAACCTTATAACTTGTAAAAACCTTATAAAATAGCTTGTAAAATCTCTCTAGCGATAGGAATGGCGTTTTGCGGACTTTAAAATACATTGTAAAACCTTATAAATA